ATATATGTATATATATATATATTTATATATATATATTCATTTATATATATATATTCATTTATATATATATATACATTTATATATATATATATATATATATATATATATATATATATTTATATATATATATATATATATATATATATATATATATATATATATATATATATATATATATATATATATATATATATATATATATATATATATATATATATATATATATATATATATATATATATATATATATATATATATATACACACACACACACTTATATATATATAGATATACAACCCTTGGAATTAAGGTCGGCATTCGGCAATGCCGACCTAACTGCCAACCTGAAAGTGTTTCTATGACCTCGTTTCTATGTTTTGTGGTTAGACATTTGTATCAAATAATTTTTGCCGACCTGATGCTGACCTCAAAAAGTATGAGGTCGGCAAATTATTGCCTCTTTTTTCCTAAATCCAAGGGTTATATATATATATATATATATATATATATATATATATATATATATATATATATATATATATATATATATATATATATATATATATATATATATATATATATATATATATATATACAGGCCTTGTTTTAAATAAAAAAGTGCTTAATGCATTAGCTTAACGCGATTTTGATGTCATAAAATTATCTTTATTTTTTTTTATAGACGTTAAATGTTTTAACTACCGCAATAAATAAATAACCGCAAACTAGTTCAATTTAACAATTAACTCAAATATAAACTATAAATGTTTTAAATATAAATTTATTATGAAAATTTTGTAATGTTTTCAATTGTTATTTTATTATTAATTTTAGTTCAATATTATTTAGTAAAATATATATATATATATATATATATATTTTAATTATTTCTGAAATTTGTTTTTGAATAATTGTTTTTAATCGTCGTTGATTAAAAAATAATAATGATTTTTTTTTTAATTTTAAAAATTTCTAGAGTAAACAAAAAATATTAACATTGATAAACACAAACCCATGTTAATTATTTTAAAACGATTTTGTTTTGACTAGCAAAGAAAAATTTAAGTTTTTAAATATTTAAAAAATTTTTAAAAGCGTTTTAACTTGCGTTTTATGAAAAATATAAAAAAGTTTTGTCTGCTCTGAGCATATTTTTGATACATAGTTTAGAACGCGTTCGCTAGGAATTTAATTAATAAATTTTTTATGTTATTGTAAAAATATTTTACTTTTTAAACAAATCTCAAAGAAACAGAGTTATAGAGAAAAATTGTTTTCAACGATTAAATCTTTTTTTTTTAATTTTAGGAAATTAAAAAAAAAAATTAAATATAAAAGACTTAATTATGCAAACTTATTTGTTAATTATTCTTAAAACAAAAAAACAAATACTATTACGCCAAACTTTAATCGTGCAAACTTAAAAAAATACTTAACTGAAATAATTTAAGTATATTTAATAATTTGAATCGTATCTGTTTATAGTAAACTTTCGTAAAAATCTGTTTATTAAAAATTAAGTTCCTTAACTTATTAACAAACTCAAAAGTATTTTCATTCTACGTATAATTACAAAACTCTTTTTTTTTTCGTTTGTAAGCAATTTAACTTAATAAAATAAAAAAAGAAATAAATATGAGGTAATCTTTGTTAAGAATAAATTTAATTTATTTATTGAACTATATTTTTATTTTTAATTATATATCAACTTAATTAAAATATAGTAACATGTTAAAATATTTTAACATGACTTGTATTATTTATAAGCCGTTGGGCAGTTGCCCTTACGTCACTATTGTTTTTGGATAATATTTTATTTTGATGAAGATCACATAACTTTCATTTGATTTTAATAACGTAAGTCTTCTCTTTTTTTGTGATCATCGCATCGGCAAAGCATCGGCAAAGTCCCAAGATTTAAAAGTTTTTAAAGTAAATCTTTTGTCCTTCAAAATACAATCCATATTCGAACTTTAAACAATTTAGAGCTAATAGAAATATACAAGGTTTTTATATACTAGTTTGTTTTGTTTTATAAAGAAAAATACATATTCCTTAGTAAAAAATGGAGACTGTTATTAAACTAAAACATGCCTTAGTATTTATTTAACGGAACCTGTAATGTGCGCGTGCATAATAAAACCTCTGTTATATAAATATATTCAACGTAATATTGTGTCATCAGCGGGTGTTGTTGTCTACTCATGATTTCTTTACCTTATAATATAACTTGATTTATGAAAAAAAAAAAACTTATCGAATCGCACGCAGAAGAAATGTAACAAATTGTCTTCATTCAAATATTGCGAGTAACAGGTAATTTTTTTTTTCTGTGCCGACCCCCTTCCCCCGCATAACTTAAACTATATACCTTTAACTAATAAGAAAAGCAAAGACATTTTTTTCAACATCTCGAAAAAATGTCTTGATATTTTTGTTATCATGATAACAAAAATATTAAGACATTTTTTGAGATTTTATTAAAAAAAATGTTAATTCTTAATTATAAATTTTTTTGCAAATGTTTTTCATTATAAAGTCAGTAAAAAATTCATAAAAAATCTATATTACAAAAAACTTTTATATTTTGTATAATTAAATATGGAATATAGATTTTTTAAAAGTTTTTTACTAAAAACTTTAAAAAATTACTACTTTTTATCAAAAACATTGCAAAAGCTTTGTAGTTAAGGATTGACAAACAATTTTTCATGTTGCTAAATATTTGGATAAAAAGTTTAGCGTCAAATTAATTGCTATAAAAAGGAAAGATATATCGCAATGAAAAGTTACAACAATTATTTTTAAAGTAAATTTTTTTTTTTAATAAATATCTTTACATATCGTTATTTAAAAGTTAATGTGGTTTTTTTGAAAATTAATTACTTCTTTTATGTTACCGCTAATTTAAAAGTTAAAAAATGATAAAAAGTAGCTTAACCAAAACAGCTCTACGCGTACGTAAAAAGCGCTTAAGGCGTACGTAAATCGCTCTAGGTGTAGCGCTTTAAAACAAGGCCTGTAAATATATATATATATATATATATATATATATATATAAATATATATATATATATATATATATATATATATATATATATATATATATATATATATATATATATATATATATATATATATATATATATTTGTATATGTATATATATATACATTTATGTTTTCTGCATATAATATATATATATATATATATATATATATATATATATGTAATTTGAATATATTTTAGATGTTTTCTTTATTTATTAACATTAATGTATTTTATTGCTAGTCTTTAATCAATATGGCGTATTGCTGTTTATTTCTTTTTGGCAAAGTGATCCAAAAACTTGTGCTTGGTGATTTGCGTGTCTCAGAAGAACAGGTAAAAATTTTTAAAAATTATTTGATAATAGAATAGAATAGAAATGTATAATTTCGGTCTATAACAGCCAAAAATTTAGCAACAATTAAAACAATATACAAGATCTGAGATTTGAAGTTTAAAATTTGAAATGTTTTTCAATGTGGTTCTTAAATTGGTTTATGTTTTTAGACTCAATAATTTCTTGTGTTGGAACATTCCAGTCATTAACAAATCTTTTAGAGAAAAAAATTATGTCTGATTGTGTTAAACTGTAGTTGTTGTCTGTTTTTATTGACTTTATGTATTTTTAATTTTTGGCCTCTTGCTCAACCATTAGTATTAAAATATTCAAAAAACACATTTTATGCAAAATCTAATAACAAGTTATTTAATAACAACTTAGATAACTTCTATTAGTAAGAAAAGATTTGAACCCAGAGTTTGAAACTCTTCTAATACCATAGTAGGATAGCTTATAAAGTAGAATGTCAACATCTACAGTGTCAAATGCCTTTTGAAGGTTGATAAAAATGCCACATCCAAACATTCCTTCATCCAGAGAATCTTTAATTTTTTCTGTTAGACTTAGTAAAGCAAGTGATGTAGAGTAGTTTGTTCGAAAACCAAATTGTTATTCAATTTATTGAAAAATTTTTCTAAGCGGTTAAACATTAGTCTTTCAAGAATTTTATCAATGTTAGAGAGGAGGGAAATTGGCCTGTAGTTTGACATTAATAGTTTAGAATCAGTTTTAAAAATAGGTATAACTTTAGCTGTTTTTAGGTTTTCTGGGAAAATACCACTTGAGAATGAGATATTAAAAATATTAGAAAGAATTCTTAAAAGTTCCGTTTTTAATAGTTTTAGAATTTTAACTGGCATACCGTTTGGTCCAGAAGCTTTATTTGCTTCTAAGGAATTGATAATTTTTGAAATTTCATGTTTTCAGAAGGTTTTATAAAGAAAGATTTTTGAGAAGGATTTGATAAGTAATATGTGAAATGATTTATGAAGGAATTGTTGCCTGGACATTCTTACCAACGTTAGTAAAGTAGTTTTTGAAAGCATTACAAATATCAAAGGGGTTTGTTATTGTTTTATTGTTATGTATGATTACATTAGGAGTTGTGTGAGAGTTACTTTTAATATTAATAATGTTTTTGATACCTTTCCAGGTTTCTTTTATATTTTTTATGTTTTCAGTAAAATAATTATCATAGTATTTTTTTTTTGCTTTCTTTGAGTTTAGGTTGAAGGTTATTACAAAATATTTTATACTCATTATGAAATATGGTTTTATTTGTTTGATTTTTAGACCTAATATATTTTTTAAAGAGATTATTTTTGTATTGAATAGAGTATTTGAGTTCTTCTGATATCCATGGTTTAGTCTTGAATTTAATGTTTTGTTTGTTAGGCTTTTTCAAAGGCGCATGAATATCAAGCAGTAGAATAATGTAGGAAATAGTATTCTCAAGAGGCTGAGTACAATTATCAGGGTATGTTTTTGGTTCTCTGTCTAAACTAATTTTGTGAAAATCGCTTGTAAATGCAACTTCATTGAAACTTTTCCAGTTTCTTTCCTGAATTAAGAGCTTTTTGTTAGGTGGTGTTTTAAAAATATTATAAGCTATCAGAAATTGGGGAAGATGATCTGAGATTGTGGTTTACAGAAGCCATGTTGTTGTTTTATTATCAAATTACAGAAGCCATGTTGTTGTTTTATTATCAAATTGTGCACTACTACTTTATTCATTATCTTATCATGTATCTTACCCTCCATTAATTTATATACTGAAGTTAGTGAAATTGGACGATAATTAGATAGTTATAGTTTACTTTCCTTTTTAAACAGGGCGATAATGTTTGCTTTTTTCCAAAGGGCTGGAGCAACACTTGGTTTGCAAAACTTGTTGAATAATATTCATAAAGGCTTGCAGAGTGATTTAGAACACATTTTGAAAACTTTATGATGAATGTCGTCTACTCCTAGAGTTTTTTGTACATCAGGTTTGTTGATATAAGCTTTAATAATTACTACTGTAAAGCTTGGATTCGGGCATTCAAAATTAACTTATGAAATGAAATACTTTTTTATTGTGCTCGCTCTTATAGCTCCGTCTGTTGTAGTTTGTTTAAATGCTCCTTAAATTCCATCAATCAAATATAATGCTTCTATTGATTTCTTGATGTTTTGCTGTTAATATATGACAATAATATAGTGTTTTAGCATTTAGTTTGAAATTCAGTGCTAACTTTCTTTTGAAATCCCAGATTTGTCTTTTTTTTTATATATATTTGAATTCAGATATTAAAAAATGCCTTTTTTTTGGCATTTTTTAATATCTGAATTCAAATATTTGTACATAATAACTAAATTTTGTAAACCACAAGTTGCACTATATTTTACACATATGTTTAAGTTCAATGTGCATCCAAAGAGGATCTTTTTTTTTCTTTTTGCTATATAACAACCTAAATAAGTAAGTGGTGACCCTTTTCAATTATCCCCAAAGGTAAAAGAAGATAAATGGCTAAAAATACTCTGTCTTCACATTCAGTTATTATTAAATCTTGCACATTACTTTCTGAACCAATTTTTACTTGGAATGTTGGATAGATAATATTTTGGAACAACGAATTAACTCAACTCTTTTGCTTGAATATCCTAATTATATTGAAGTAAATTGTAACTTTCATACCAACTTATTAATGAATAATTAAAATTTCCAAATAACACGATAACCGAAAATTTATTTTTTTGATGCAAGTTGATAGCTTGTTTAATTGTATAGATTATAGTTACATTTTTCATTTTACTACATAAACCTGGTGGAAAGATACAGCCATAAATAATCTTTTCTAATCCGACTTCAATAAAACACCAAATTTGCTTTATAGTATATTGTTGTCTATAATGTAGGATTTGATGTTGTTTTTAATATAAATAAACAAACTCAACCACCTTTTCTATCTATGTCTTTTCTAAATAGATTAAAACCTGAAATATTTGTAGATGATGTATCTGACCACCAAGTTTCACTTACAAATACAACCGAAGCATCATGATGAATAATTTCAAGTAAAAGTATATATGATCGTTTAACTTGTTGTTTAGAGACATAACATTTGTATATAAGTATTTTAAATAAGTTTGTTTTCTCAAGCCAGTGGTGTACCCTTTGGTTTTTCCCAGTCGCTCTGCAGGCGGCTGAAATAGTTTTTATAACTCATTTGAGTCGTCCGATTTATAATAATCAGTAGTCTGGTGTAAAAGTTTTTTTTTGTATTTTTTTCGGGTGAAAATAATTAAGAAAAAAAAATTTAAATGAAAAAAAACTACTAAAATACGTCTAATAAGAGATGGTTTATTTAAAAGTAAATTAATTTATTTAAAATTAAAGATGTTTGTTACTTTTGTCATAGTCAATATCTGTATCGTATCATTTTTGTCAATCTTAACAAAAGTTTCATTACGTGAAGCAAAAATGTTGTTAGCAAAAACTGGAAAGAATCGTTTTATATATAGAAAAATATTCTATTATTCTCTCTCAATCTTCAATCTAATTTAATTTAGTTGAATGTTTAAAAACATTATGTTTTTAATGTTTTAAACATTTTTCATTATACTAAGATTTTTATTTTTAGAAAAAAAGAACTTCCTCTTGCATCATTAATTACGTTCTAATAATGACTTTTTCATATGCATCTTAATAATGTTTTTTATCTTATTGGTTTTGTTTGACAAAATTAAAAAAAGTTTTTATTTTACTAACGAAAAACAAATGAGATTCAGTATTATTAATGATGTAACTGCCCATTCATGTGATTCATAAGCGACTATAAGGTTTAAAAAAATGATACAATAGCATTTGGAAATGAAGGAAAATGTAATTTTAAAACTCATTTTAAATTGAGAGGAAGCGTGCTTCAAAATGCAACAACAATGTTAAAAAAAACAGTACAGTTGCACTTCGAAATATTAAATCGCATGTTGGGATCTATAAAGTTTGGTAGAATTATATAGCTCACTGTAGTGTACTCATTGTTAAACGAAGTGTTACTACTTTAAATTTTTACAGCTTTTTAAAGTTTTTTTTTAAATAATCACAAGGAATAAAATTTTTATAGATCAAAATATGGTTTTATTAATAAACACACTTTTGTAAGTAATATCTTGCCGGATGACCAGACAGTTTGTTACTTACAAAAAAATGCCTGTCAGTAGTTGACAGGCATTTTTAAAAAATTTCAGTTGCCCTTGGAGAAAATGAGTTGTCTTGTGCTACTCAATGATCATGAGAATACACGCTTGTAAGCTGGTAAAATGTTCTTTTTTTAAACTTACATCTGATTTTTTTTGATTACTAATTTCGTTATTTTTTGATCTTTTGAATTGTGTCGCTCCTAATACCATAACGAAAGAGAGATTCTCCTGACAGATGAACATTTAGTTTGTTTCTTTTTTTATGCAAATCATAATCTAATTTGGCTTGCATTGGTGTTTGATCCAAATTAATGAATTCATTAGGAAAAATATTATTAATTTTTATGATAGTACCGAAATTGTTTGTTTCAGTGATGGTATTTCAACAAGTATTGCCCCTTTAGCATTTTTGATATTTACTTTTGGTTTACATCTTTTTATGTATATAATTTTATTAGTGTCTATATTTATATCAGTAAAGATATGTTTAACATCAGAAATAATAACATTCTTCTCTTTTTTTTTCTTGAGTTCTTGCTTAACAGAGATCACATTAATAATACTTATTTACTGAGGTATTAACTTCCTTCTTACGCCAGAAGTTACAACATTACTCCATGTTTTATAATTAGAATTTTTTTTGTTTTTTAAATTAATAATTTCTTCACTTTGTTTTCTAACAAGCCCTTTCAAATTTCCAACATTTGTAATTCCAACAAAACTTCTTCTAAAATTGCTTTTGTTTTCATTTTTTTTGTTTTCATTTTTACCAGTAAGTTTTGTGTTTGTAATTTTATTTTGTTTTTTATAGTTTTTTGTAATTTTTTTACTAGTTAGCTTATTAAATTTTTGCTTTTTGATTAATATTTATCTTCTGGTTGTTCTTAGTTTTCACTAATTTTTTGTTTAGGAATAGACAATAACGTAAGTGATATGATCTATTGCGAACTAATTTAAAAATATATTTGCAAACAAACTAAAAACCAAATTAAAGTTAAGAAATATATACTTAATAAGTTGATTTAAATCTTACCACTGTTCGTTTAAACAATATAACAAACTAATTCCAAAACAAGGACCTATCCTAAAAAATTTAAAAGCAAATAATAACTAAATAAATTTGATAATTTAATTGATGTATATATATTATTTGAAGCAAATATAAGTAGCTTGAAAAACACGTCTTGACACTATGGAGCAGAAGTAATAATAGAAACATGTTTAATCATATGATTTATTTAGTGGAATTTATAGTAAATAAAATTTTTAGATGTTGTTTTTATTGTTTTTTATTTTATTATTATTAGCATTTGCAAGATAAGTTTTGGAACTACATCTTTTACAAAGTCATTTTTGTATTTGGCGTTGTTAATGCACAATCCATAAGTGAAGTTTTATGTTGGGCTGCTTGGTTTTCCATGTTAGGTTTCTGGCATATATTTGGTCAACTTTGCAAAGATCGATATAAATATGTAGGTTTTTTTTTTTTTTTTTTAAATAAACAAAATGATTACTTAATCATTAAAAATATATTAAACAGACAACGATTATAACATTATTATTGATCATTAAATTCAAGGTAATAATCATTAATATTTAAAAGCACATAAAAGTGCACTAAATATTATAAAACTTTAGTAAAAGTAAAATGGTGTTAAAAAAAAATTTTTAAATGAGATATTTTAATTTTTTGTTCTCATAAGTTTTTGAAAAAGCTAAATTCTTTTTTTTTTTTTTTCTTAAAAACTTTTACACATTAATGTATATAATAAAGTATCTTGAAGTTGTTAATTATTTCAATTTATAATGGCTCACAATCTGTTTATTAAATAGATCTTATTTATAGTTAAATTAAAGTTAATACCCAGTGAGAAATTGTCTAGCGACCAGCTAGCGGTATTTGTAATAATAAAAACAGCAATATGGTCATAAGGATCACTAGCTAAGTAAGCTAGCTACTAGCTAGCAACAGCCTGTAATAATCAAGATAGCTATTGCAATAAAGATTGCCATGAAGATTGCAAGCTAGAAAAGCAAATGATTAGCTAGCAAATATTCTCATTACATTATTATATTACTCATTTATATCTATACTATACTATTATTATTACATATTATTTATTAGCTTATTTACTTACTATAAATGCAGACTTGCCTTAATTTTCTATTTAGCTACAATAATTTAATAAATAATATATTAATTGAAAAAATATATCCCTATTGATTTATAGAAATATTATTATAATTATATTATTAATATAATTATAATAATATTATTATAAAATTATAAAATACTATTAATATAATTATAAAAAATATATCCCTATTGATATATAATATATATAATATTGATTTATAGTTTTATTAAGCAACATCGTTTTAGAGCTATCAACTTATTGTTTTAAAATAAACTAAGAATGCAACGAAAAATCTGTGATATGTATATACATATTGCTCCAGCAATAGTTGGCTACTAATTTGCCACCTAACAGCTATAGAATTGTCATTATGTAGTAGCTAGCAAAAGAGCTACAACATGTAGCTATTGATATTTTGTAACAACTTGGCTACCTAAAATGCTACAATATGTATTTATTGAGTAGCTTTAGATTTGTCTTTATTATATTTAGATTGTAGCTATCAATAAATCTACAATTTATTGATAGCTACAATCTGTAGCTATCAATAAGTTGTAATAATATTGCTAAGCTGGAATAAGTAGCCATTGACTAGATTTGTTGCAAAGTTGTAGTTTGCTACGATATGTATAATGCTATGTGATGTAGCTTTCAATGTATTGTAGTAATATCAATAGCTACAAAGTTGAGATATCTAGATAGTGACATGTCACAATATCTAGATAGTGACATGTCACAATATCTAGATAGTGACATGTCACAATATCTATATAGTGACATGTCACAATATCTAGATAGTGACATGTCACAATATCTAGATAGTGACATGTCACAATATCTAGATAATGACATGTCACAATGTCTAGATAGTGACATGTTACAATATCTAGGTAGTGACATGTCACAATAAAATAATATCAATGTTCAATTATAATCATAAAAGATTCTAAAAATCAAATTTTTTGAGACATAAAAATCATGTGAGAAAAAGTTGCTTTTATAAAATACTAAATTAAAAAAACTTTGAAAGGATTATTATGCTATACTTGATTTTCCTAAAAAGAACCAAGTAGAGTGCAAATGAAAGTAGAGGTTATGTGATATGTGTATTAGGGTAGAACAAACATTTTTTTTCTCTGATTTTTGGTTACCATAGAAGCATGTTTTACTAAGTAAAACATGCTTCTATGGTATCTTAGGAAAATGTTTTTTTCCACAATATACTGCAAAAATGGTGTGTTTCCCACCATTGCAACTTTTGGTATTTTTTTGTTTTGATTAATTGATAATATTAACCAATCCGTCATGGCTGTTTTTTAAAAATTACTCAGTGAATTTAAATGTCCAATTTTAGGCCATCCAATTAAATTATCTGTAAATAACTTCCAGCTTATGAAAACGTTTTCATGTGTTGTTTTAATGAAAAGTTATAAACTAGCCTTAAAATCAATTAAGCCAGTTAAGTTTTCTTATGTTTTCAATAGTGTTGCACAGCAATTTATATCTGTGTTTGATAAAACTTCAATACCCACAACTCTGTAATGGTTTTAAAAGTTATCCAATTATTAAATGGATACCATGACAGTTATTGTAATCTTATAAAATTCTTTAATCGTGATAAAGAAAAAGGGAAGTTCAAAAAGAGAGTTTTAATATTTATTATACTTAATATATATTTTTATTTAAAAAGTTTATAAATGTGAGTGTTCTGTTTTAATTATTGTTAAGTGTGAAAAAGAAAAAATATAGCCATCCTTGAATTAGCATTGTAGTAGATAATTAGAACTGTTGAAATAAAAGTCTCAAAAAAGAAATTACACAAAGACAAAGTATAAAATTTGCTGAACATAAAAGAACTCTACTTCTAATAATTTATTATTTACAACATTCATGCTCAAACCATTAAGATAAAACACTATAGCAAAAAGAGATTGATAGTGATGCCTCAATATCTTTTGAATAAGTCATCGATGAAGAATCAGAAGAATTTAAGCTAAATCATTGTCAGATGCACATTAGAATGAAAAATAATGCTCTAACTAGTGGTTATTATAGATTAATTATAATTTAACACGCTTGAGTAATTTACATAATTTTGGTATTATAACCAGTTATGATCACATTCTGGTTGACAAATATAAAGTTAGAAGAGCAAAAGTAGATAGCTGTTCACAACTTCAAAAGCAGAGTAAGGAAAAATATCCAACTTTCAATAGTGCTGCATTTGATGGGGCAATTTCAGTCATTAAAAAACTTAAATCAAAACAGATTTGACAAATCTTAAAAGAAGAACTCAATTTTACAAGAAACAGGTTCTGTTTATTTTGGTTATGATTCACTCTCTGTTGGCTTAAGAGATTGCTAGTAGTTTATTTCATAATTAAAATAAGCTAGATTTTCATTTTATAAACTGAACATAATTAAATATTATGTCCAGTTTACAAATACTGTTACAAATATGGGATGGAAAACTGGTATTATTTACATTATTAAAAAGTAAGTAAAAAGGCAACTGCACTTGCCTGCTACACTTTAACGAATTGCTATTTCGGTATTGGTTTCAAACCTGGTTAACAACTGCAAATGAGTTTTACAATTCTATTTGAGCCTTGAACCCCAACAGAGGGGCACCAAATTTTAGCTTCTTTTTTTTTTTAAATCATGTCCCTGTAGTAAAAAACTATTTACTTCACAAATGAAGCAGAACATTCATTTGAAGTGATAAACTCATCAAGGTTTCTGTCCAATGATTTGCTAAAAGTTATAGACCCAGTTATTGAGAGAAACCTTTTTTTTTTTTGAGAGAAAATTTTTTTTGACTAATAACCCATTTATTGAGAGAAAACATGCTTTTGACAATAATAATAGATACACAGGTTCGTATCTGGGAATTTGGTTTTACACAAATTTTAAAAGCAAGAAGCCTAGCTTCTCAAAAAAAGCTTATCAGAAGTTTTTTAACCACCCAAAATTAACTTCCTTGCTGATGGCTACACAGAGATGGTTAACTTTAATTTTACTACATTTTTTGCCACAATCTTTGCTGCAAAGTGTCTTAAGTGTTAAGTTTATAAAAGAGGCTTCACAAAAAGTACCTGGCTCCAAATCCAGAGATAGCATTATAAGAACTACACATAAATCCAGATCCTCTATGTCTAATTTTTCAAGCAAATCATATTTTTAACTTGTTTTAAAAATCATTGAAAAGTAAAACAATATGTATTCTTGAGAAAGGCAATTTTAAACAATTGCAAAGATGATTTTTTATTTTAAAAAATGATTTATTATTTCATTTATTTATCATTCCAAATCTTTGTCCTCACTTAACATGCCCTATCTAATTTTTTCAAATTCAACTTTGTTTAAAAAATTATTAAAAAAATATATTTCTTCAAATATTCAAGCACAATACGCTATCTTCAAATGTAAAGTATTATTTTTTTTTGCATTATCCTTAAGTACCCAAGAGACAGTTTTTTTGTGATATATCAAATTAAAAATCAGAAAAAGTTTTTTTTTTTATGCCTACCCTAATGTATATTGGTTTGTTACTATTTTTTTTTTGTAACTGGTGCTAATAGAGCAATTACAAAAAATTAAGTTTTGTATGAGAAGTTTCGAATATGAGAACATCTTGGCATTGGACAAGTGGAAAAAGGTTTTTGGTGAAAAAGTTTTGGTTGTTGATCATGAAAAAGTTAAAGAAATGCTTGTTTACAAAATTGAAAACAATTTGATAGCCAAACCAATAATAATACCTTGATTTGAAAAAGAAGAATATCTTCCATTTAATGCAGAAAAATGAAATGAAGGTAGAGTTTTCAAGGTTTAGTTTTTCAAGTTTAGTTCAATACTACCTTTAATTCAATGTATTGAACTAAATTTAATAAAATTATGTTAGTAATAGTGATGAAGCAAACAATGAAAATAATGATTCAGAATCAAATTGTAATAAAAATTGTAATAAGTATTGTAATAAATCTCAAAGGTATAGAATTGCATCAGCAATTTTAATGGTATAATAGTGAAAATTCCTAACAAAAGCAAGAATATATATATATATATATATATATATATATATATATATATATATATATATATATATATATATATATATATATATATATATATATATATATATATACTTATATATATATATTTATATTTATATAAATTATATATATATAAAATATATATCAGGGTGTTAGCCATTTTATAGTTTAAATAGGCAAATATTTGATAAAGTTATTGCGCATGTAACCTAAGTTAAAAATGGAATTGCCCATATATATATATATATATATATATATATATATATATATATATATATATATATATATATATATATATATATATATATATATATATATATATATATATATATGTATGTATATATATATATATATATGGGCAATTCCATTTTTAATAATATATATATATAAATATATATATATATATATATATATATATATATATATATAATATATATATATATATATATATATATATATATATTATATATATATATTATATATATATATATATTATTTTTATAATGTATATATATATATATATATATATATATATATATATATATATATATATATATATATATATATATATATACATATATTTTTAAAATATATGTATATAAATATATTGAATATTATTAGCTGACTTCATCTCCATTTACTCCGCGCAGCAAGCATGTCAAGTTAATGGTACTTATTTGTGTAATTTGTTTGTCAAGCACTGTTATGGGTGTATGGGCTGTGTCATATGGTTATCAAGAAAGTGTTAACATCATGTTATTTATGTTAGCTGAGGTAAATTTTATTTAAAAGTTATTAATTTTTTTTTTTAGTTCAAATTTTGTTTGAACTAAAAAAAAAAATTCAAAAAAATTCAAAGTTTCAAAAATGTGTTTCAAAAAAATATTATAGGTTGTTCAATAGGATGAATCATCCTTTATGAGGGTGTATTATCTACAATAAGATGAGGGTGTACCTTTATGAGGGTGTATCATCTACAATAGGATGAAGGTGCATTGTTATGCGGGTATAACATCTACATTAAGATATATATCCATTACAACAACAAATGACATTTTGATGATTTTATTTTATCCTAGCAGTTTTGAAATAAACTAAGAGATAAAACAAATATATTTTATTTGAAAACAAAAAGATTTTAAAGTTTTAGTATATAACACTTTTATTGTAAAGATAATATACAGAAGCAAGTGTTAAAAATAGTAAAAATCTATGGCAGAGGACATGCAGAAAATTATCATTAATATATACAGTCCTCAGAATTAGGTTTGGTATTCAGTAATGTTGACCTAACTGCCGAATTTTTTTTGCCAACTTGATGCTGACCGCTAACAGTTTAAGGTTGGCAATTCCATTTTTCTTTATTCCAAGGGCTGTATATAACATACCAGGATAGTTTAAAAGAGTATAAAAATAATATTATTACTACAATGATAATAAAAAGTATTATAAGTAACATTATTAATAATAATATTATATTTTATTTTAGTGTATTTTGTTAGGATTGAAGTCACTGCACCTCTTAACAAGGTCAGATTATATGTTTTTAAATTGTTCATAACCTATTGTGTATATATGCCAATGTATTTATATCTGCATAAATATGTATCAAAATTATTATTTGAATAATCAGTTATAAAAAATAATATTATGAAATAAGAAAAATAATTATAAAAATATAAATGTTGCTTGTAGAAATATTTGTATTTATTTACATAATTAATAATTCTTTGAATAATATAGAGTAAAATGGGGTAATTTTGCCACTTAAGAAATTTGTCACCAATTGATGTTCCTCTATTTTTATAACTTTTAAAACTTTAATCAGAAATAAGATTTTTTTATGATTTAAATTTCTATTAGAAGTAAAACTTTTTTACTTTTTATTTATTAGAAGTCTTTATCTTTATTTATTAGAGGTAAAACTTCTTAAATTTCTATCAATTTATGTCCAAAATTACTTTCTTTATTTTTTGATTACTTGATTTGAGAAATTATGGACAAAAATAATCTTCAAAAAAACTGGAAATTTAAAATTCTCTTGAAAATCAAATTATTTATTACTGTCAAAAATTTAAAAAACCAAAATGTAGGAAATTTTTCAAAAAACTGTTGTTGTTTTTTCTTTCTAATTTTAATTGGTTTCGAAGATATTCCGGAATTATTAAATGAAGGAATTCTTCCACCTATTTACATTAAATAGAGATGCACTTTGATTGGATAATTAATATTATATCCCCTACCTCTTGTTTCAGTAGTTAATTTCTTAAGTCATGTTGGTCTTATAATAAATTTAAATTAATTAAATCAATCAATTATCAACAACAATGCCTCAAAACCTCAAGAGAAAGTCTGTCACCAATTATAGCATAGAGGAAAAGCTATTGCAAAAGTTGAACTGGCGAAATGAGCTACAAGCGTGATGCAGAACTGTACCGTATACCTCGAAAGACACTAGCAGGAAGCATTTAATATTTAAAAAGTACCAGGGCTGGTATGTTAACAGCTTTAAATTATGTGACTTTAATCTATTATAATTTGTAAACTAAAAAGTTTTTTTATATTTTTATGATGATATCAAAACTCTATTTTTAGTTAGCAAAATTTTCAATTTATTGTTAGATTGCTTTTATTTAACTGATTGTAAATGTGTTTTAAAAAATTTATAAATATTTTGTTAGATTTATTTTGTAAATAATTAACCTGACAAAATTATCCCAACTTAGATTGGGGTAATTTCATCGTTTTTTCTATTCCTATTAATGAAAAAATTTATTTTTCAATTTTTTAAATTTGTGTAGTTTAAAAAAAAATATTAATAACAATAAATTTTTTTTTTTTTTTTTGAACCACCTGAAATAAAATGTAATTTTAATTAAACTAAAAATATTTAAAATAAGTAAAAATTTTACTAACATATATTTAGATGATCAGGTGTAGCAAATTATTGGCAACATTATACTTTAAGGTTTTTTTTTTTATTGCAGCTCTTAATTTTCAAAGGTTATATGTAGTGCTCTAAGGTTAATGTACCAAAATATTGGTTTCTAATTTCTAATTGCATTTTTGGTTTTTAAGTTTTTTTAATTTAAAGATTTGGTGGTGAAATTAACCCAGTTTACCCCAGTTTAGATTTTTTTTTTAACTTATTCACCTACGCAAACTAAAGGGATAAACAAAGTCTACTTGTTTTTTTAAAACTAAAGTTGATATGATTAGGATTTCAACTTTAAACTCCTAAACACCAATCTTTAAGAAAAAGAGAAAAAAATGTTTTTTAAATGTTTTAAATGTTTAAAGGTTTTTACAATGTTTTTAGTTGTATTTTATACTGTGTTTTTAATTTATTTCATGAAAAAAAACATTTTTGGTGTTTAGATACATGTTTCAAATTTTGGAAATTCAAACAGGTAATTTTGATAAAAAGTCAAAAGTGGCCTATTATATTGATCTAATATCTGAATGTTTGGTGTTAACAGTTGATTTATGTTACCATGTACACATGCTGGTGAGTATATTTTGATGTCTCAATATTTTCTGCATAAATTTTCAAAGATGTATTTAAAAACTTTCAGTTTTAAGTAATATTATCATTTTTATTTAGTTTGTTTTAATATATATATTTTTTTATTTCTTTTTTACTATAAGGTTTGGTCGAATGTCTTTCTTTCAATGGCAAGCTTGGTGTTGTACTGGAATATAAGAAGTATTGTTTCTGAATTTAAAAAATGTTTAAAGATGCATAGATTGTATCAAAAAGTTATCAAGAGCGTTTCCACCAGGTAAGTACAAACATGATTGAAATTATTTTTGTTTGCAAAGTTAAAATTCTGTTTTAATTTCTACTTATTTAAAAAGGTTTCCACTTGCCACTCAAGATGAGTTAAATGAAGTAGCTGATCACTGTGCAATATGTTGGGACAGCATGGAGACAGCAAGAAAGTTACCATGTGGACATTTTTTTCACCAGTATGTATCAGCGATCATACATTTAATTATATTTTATTGTAACAATAAAAACAATAAAGATAGTTCAATGAAGTTAACATAAAATTAAGTTCATTGAACTTTGTTTATTTTTAATTTAAATAAATTAAAATATCTTTTATAGTATGTAAACTTATTCCTATAAAATTCTTTATAACAAAGTACAATATTTCTAGGGGTTATATATACCCTTTTTATTCAAGTTTTTAATGTTTTTTGCACTTCGTAAAGTTTAGAATAAAAAATAATCTTGCAATTTATTCTTATATTGTGTGTCAATTAAATAAAAAATGTTATACGAGGTGTTTTTATTACTTTTTTAACTGTTATGAATGTTTTTTAAAATTTTCATACATTAGCAAATTAAAATAAAAATTAAGAAAAAAAATAGTTGTTTTTATGTATGTAAAAATTTCAAGTTTTTAATTATTAATTCTTAAAATTTTAGTTCTTGTTTATGTTCGTGGTTACAACAAGATGTATCATGCCCCACCTGCCGTAGGTCACTTACTAAGGATATGGGTTTACCTCCAAATCTCTTGAATGAAGAAGTACACACTGATGAACTTCCTGATGTTACAATGGATCGAAATGAGAGTGTTAATGGTTTCAGAAATTTTTTCTTTTTTCTTGATGGGAGACAAATTGCAAATTGGTTTCCAAGCTTTTCAATTGAAGTTTTTCATGGAAGATTAGAGCAAGATCAAAATGAAATGAATAGACAGGTATATAAATAAAACAACCTAACTGTAGGTAAACAACCTAAAAACTTAGTAAAACTGAGGGCTTGGGTTCGAACCAGCAGTATCTATGTATAAAAGGCATTTATTACAACAAATGAAGATATATTTTTAGTTCTCCTTTTTCTTTTTCTTTATATTTATATTTATATATTATTATATATATTATATTTCTTTATAGTTATATTTTATGATTTAATAAAATTAAATCATAAAAATTAGGCATAATATATTAGTACTGTGCCTGTCTAAATATATATATTTTTGTAGGTGGAACAACTTTTGCGGTTATTTCCTCACATATCAAGAGAGGCTATAGTATCTGATTTGCAGCAAACTGGATCAGCTGATGTAACAGCTGATAATATTTTGGAAGGAAATTTGACACCAATGCTGGTAGACCCTTACTATTATAAAAATTGTATCATAATCAGCAAGTTTGATTTAAAAATTTTTTTTTTTTTAATTATTGAAACTTTGCTTCTCTGTTTCTATTTTGCGATTAATCTCTGATTATTTATATTTAGCAATCTATTCAGTCACCTTCATCAGAAGAAAATGGTAAACTTTTTCTTGTTGCGTTTTTATTAAATTATTATATATATATCAAATTATGAATATATATATCAAATTATGAATATATATATATCAAATTATGAATATATATATCAAGTTATGAATATATATATATATATATATATATATATATATATATATATATATATATATATATATATATATATATATATATAGATATATATGTATATATATATATATATATATATATATATATATATATATATATATATATATATATATATATATATATATATATATATATATGTATATACAGGCTTCGGCAGGAATGACGGGCTATAGCCCGTGTCCGTCTCCGCACCCGTCTAAGTCAGTTTAGACGGGCGAAATAAAGCCCGTCTGAAACATAAGTTTTGTGTAAAAAAAAAGATGAATATTTTGATGTTTTTTTTATTAAGATACTCTTTTAAAACTTCTCTCATGACATAATTTTAATATGGATAGCAAACTCCAACTTATAATTGTTTATATTTAAATATAAAAATTAAACAATTTAATTATTATTGTATAACATGATGTAGAAAATAATATAACTAAATCTTACAGTTTTTTAAACGACGGTAACTGTTTGATATAATACCAAACAGTTACCACATTATGTTCAAAATTTAATAACTATAATATTAAATAGGAAAATATACACATGTGATGCACAAGAAGTATCATGTTGTTTTGGTTTTTCAATGTTTATAATAATAACGATAATAAACTAATTATTCATGTATTTCGCTTTTTTCCGATAAACTAGTTTGTCTTACTTTAAAGACATTTAAAGTGATATTTCCGCGTTAACTTCCGCGTTAACTTCACGTTTTTTCTTAAAGAGACGGCAGTTTATTTAATATGCAATTATATAACTCGTTATTGAAAATGAAATATCTCATTAAAAATCAACAAACGTCTAATCAATTTTTGTAGATAATATAAATAGTGTTGCTTTATAGTTATGAAGTTATTCAAGTTATCCAGTCATTCAAGTTTTTCAAGTTATTCAAGTTTTTCAGTAAAGATAGTAATGGCATCATCTGGTAGAAGAGTTACATTAGCAACATTTTTGAGTTGGGGTAAAGATGGAGTCTGTGGAAAAGAAACTGAGGTGGAGAATGGAACAATTTTTGTTGTGAAGATATGGTGTATGGTTTGTATAAAATATAAAAAAGAATTGCTTCGCGAGTTAAAAGGTCTGGCAAAATCAAAAGCATTAGCATTTATAGAGGGCACTACGAACGTTAAAGCTAGCAACATACATACGCTTATATACATGCTTATATTGTATATAAAGTAACGGAAGCCCCGGTATCTTAAGAAATTATTAATACTTCTAAATAAAAACTTATTTTATTAAAAGAAATTAGATTTCAAATTTTTTATTCACGTATCAGAATAACTATTTCCGATCAGGATAGGCATAGGTAAAGCAAAGTTATAAAAATATAAATAACAGTTTAAGTTTTTAATTTGCACGCCCAATAGAATGCAAGAGTATATAAATAATTGAATTTGAAAAATAACATAGTTACGTATCATATTACCAAGTTAATCCCAAACAATTCTAAAACTATCGAGCTCATTGATTCAAGGTTAAAAAAAAAAGATTTCAAACTATTTGCTGAATAATTAAAAAAAATTAGATTTTGAAAATATTATGTAATATTTTTATTCACAAAGAATAAGAGAAACGAATGAACTAAAAAAGCACGATAAAAACCTGTATAATTTAATCGAATACTTGAATAAAACAATAATATATAAATATACTCAAAAAGACTTCGGTAAAAAAACTCGTTAGGATGCTTGAATAAGGAAACGTGATGAAACGCCATGGTTGTTTCGAGGATTTTTCCCGTCGTTTTCACGTTCATTCGTTTGACTATATCTGCCAGATATTATCTGGAATAAAGATTAAAAAAAAACAAACATAAAAAACTGAATAAAGTTCCTTCGAGTAAGAAATCTAAACAAAAGCAACCATAAAACAACTAACCCACGTAAAATGAAATTAGATCTGTGCAAGTGAAAACTTTGAAAAACAATTATTGAAATCTTAGTTTTAAGTATTATCCAACTCATTTACTGCAGTGTTTTAATTACTTAAGTAATTAAGCATTTTAAACAGTTAATCGCTTTCTAACATATTATTTTAGTGCAATTCACAAAATGTTTAATATTCAATGACATTTTCATTCAAAAAGAAGAAGAGAAATTAACAAATTAAAAAAAAAAAAAGTTTAAACTTTAGAATTTTTTTTAAAGTTTAAAAAAGCCCGTGCAAGACCATCTAGACGGGCGGCCCTCATAGCCCGCCAAGTTTATTTAAGACGGGCTTTTCATAGCCCGTACGGTTTTTATTCCTGCCGAAGCCTGTATATATATATATATATATATATTTATATATATATATATGTATATATATATATATATATATATATATATATATATATATATATATATATATATATATATATATATATATATATATATATATATATAAATATATGGGCGATTCCGCAAGAAAGAGGGGGAAAAAAAAAAGCAAAAAAGTTATGAAAACACATACTAAACTCTAAAACTCTTTTTTTTAACTATTTTAAAATACTTTTAAGCAAAAAAGCAACTAAAAAAAATCATTTTATCATACCACAGCATGGTTTTTAAAGTTGTAAGGGTTGTATAAACATGTTTTGACGTTTATTTACAGCCTTGTCGTGTAATGTTAAAAATCGTACCGTATATCCACAATTAAAAACTTTGATAATGTTATATTGCATTTTTTTAACATAATATACATGGTTAAAAATAATTATTTATACTTTTTTTCTTACATCATTGATTGATTTGTTATATTTGTTGTTTTTAAACATTAGATTTTTTGTTACGACCGCCATGGTTATGTGACGGTTGTAACAAAAAAAAACACAAAAATTCTTGTAAAACTTCAAGTAAAAACTTTGAAACTCTGCATATAATAACATGAATATGTGCTAAATACACACACCAAAGGATTTTTTTTTTTCACCATCCTGTTCGCAGCATTAAGTCTGACAAAGTTGTTTTGTTCAGAAGTGGTAAAAAGTAAATGTTATGACCGTCACGCTACTAGGAGTTTAATTTTGAAAAAAGTTGAAAACTTTAATGCTGTAACTTTTGCATACAAAATTATATGATAGTTTTTCACATTTCTGGAAAGTTTCAAGTCATATTCGTTTTTGGTTCATCTTCAATAACTTATAGAGTGTCAAATGTTATGACCGCCACTCTCACGGAATTGCCCATATATATATATATATATATATATATATATATATATATATATATATATATATATATATATATATATATATATATATATATATATATATTATATATATATATATATATATATATATATATATATATATATATATATTAAAATTAT